AGGTTTTCCTTGTTAGATATTCCCCTTTAGGGATTTCTAAAAGGGGAACAATGTCTGCATGACGCACTGTAGAGATGGTGTCTGTCTCTGAATCCAAACTGAGAGCTGGTTCTACCGAAGAGGGGCCCGAAACCTGAACCCTCTGCCTCCCTTGGGATGATACTGTATTATGAGACATTTAAAATATGATGGTGCCTGATTATTCAAGACCTTGTATGTGATGAGAAGGACTTTAAATTTGATTTTGGATTTAACAACTGGATTTAATTTAAGAGAAGCCAGTACAGGAGTGGTGTGAGACTCTCAGCTGTATTAAAAAGGCTCATAAACGCCTGTATTTTCTGAGGAAGCTGAAGGGAGCAGGGCTGAACTCCACCATCCCCAGTTCTGTCTACAGGTGTGTGGTGGAGAGCACAATGACTGCCTGGATTACTGTCTGGCCCTGCAGCTGCACCATAGAGAAGAGAAGCAGACACTGCAGCGAGACTGCACACAGGGCTATTGGATGTACCCTCCCACTGAGACATTTACACCAGCAGATGCAACGACTGAGCATCACGTGACTCCGCCCATCCTACACATGGACTGTTTTTCGCCCCCCCTTCAAGCTGGAGGTTGCGCAGCATCTGTGGCGAGATCCACCAGTCTGAAGATGAGTCTGATGAACTGCCACACCTCTGAATATACAGTCTACATTCTGCATTTTGAATTGACTTATTGACTCAGCCATTATTACTTAATAGCTCATTTATTTATTTAATAGGTTTTTATATTTATTATTAGCAGCACCATAAATCTGCCTCAGCAATGGAGGTGTGGAACCCGGTCCATTCAGACTTAACATCCCAACCACCCTCAGGATGCTGTTGAAGTTGAAGATGTCACGAAAGGGGCCTCTGCCATACATTCCCAGTGGATTCTCCTTATCCGTTTGGGCACGCCAGGCCTCTCCAACTTAATCCCCCACCACCATATCCAATTCAGCACCTGGTGGTGTCAGCTGACAGATCTGCTCCTGTCTCCACCTGAGTGTCCAAGACATACAGCCACCAAAACTACATCCTACAACCCATATCTCAACCTGAAGGTGCAGGGAAACAATCCGTTCATCAACCATGGAAAAGTGCTGAGCACTTGTTTTTACTGTATTTATGTTTGCTTGTTTCAATAAATCTCTAAATAA